ATTTCTACCCTTTTATATTCAAAAAGATTTGCTAAAGTTAATCTGTGATCCGACAATGCAAAAAAAGATGGCTATTGCTCTCAGCTTCCCTTCCACATAAGTAGCATCGAGAGCAAAGCCTCATTCCCCTTCTCTTCAAATTCTCTTGTGTTAGACGAGTATTCTTCACAACCAGCCAAACAAAAAATTCAACTTTGTATGGTATTTTTCACCTGCCAGATGTGTTTCCAAAGCCACAATCCAGCCAGCTGACCACTATGGTTCAAAGTTGTGTATGCAGATTTTGTTTGCTTAAGTGGTGTAGCTACTCATTCATCTACGCAATGTTTTACGTTCCAAGGTGTAGTAGGAGTTGTTTCCAATTCTAGACATGTGAAAGGAGTTTGTGCTTGCACACATACATGTGACTCTTATTGGATGATGGAGTTTTCTCTCTTAGAATTCATAGGTTTTCTGATGCCTTCTCTCGTCATTTATGCCACGATAAAGTGCAAAGTGGGGAAAAACTTGGACCAAGTGTATTAAGAACGATTTGCAACAAGTTTTGATCGGAGATATTGAGACTAGATGGAGAGATTATCTCGATCAAATGCTCAATCCAAATTACACGGATGACTTAAATGATATTCATAAACGTGTGACAGATAGAAAGCTTAGCTAAATTCATAGATAAATTTATGTTGAAGTAAAGTATATCATGGATTATTTATGGGTAGAAAGGTTTGTGGTCCAATCGGTATCCTTATAGAGGTTTTGAAGTGCCTTGGTGAAGTTAGAGTGATGGCTAACCAAGCAATTCAATGCTATATTAAGGAAAGAAAGATGCAAAATGAGTGGAGAAAGAGTAGATTGGTTATAATATATGAGAACAAAGGAGATAAAGATGTGCGAATGGTTGTGGTATTAAACTTATGATTTATACAGTACAACTTTGCGAAAAGAGTGACGGAGCATGGATTTAGGGACATAAACGTGGCTGAGTGAGTTTATTCTTGGTAGTTTGATAACAGCGAAGATTGGTAGAAATTTTTAGAGGAAGAAAGATATCTACATGAGATGTAGTGAACTACGGGAAGCATATGATAGAGTACGAATGAAAGTCCTTCGCAAAGGATCCATATCAAATATAAGTGGTATTAAAGATATTTACGAAAGAGCAGTTACAAGTATGAGAACAGTGGGAAGAGATGCAAAGAGATTTCCGTTAACCCTGGTTTACACAAAAGATCTTCCTTGAACCCGATACCTAACAAAGTGAAAGCAAAGTCTACACATTGGTTTTGGGACCAACGTTATACCCTAGTAGGTGTAGTGTCTCAGGGATGCAATATATCCACAAGATGAATGTCCTAGAAATGCACGAGTTAATATAAATACGTAGTTGAATTCAATAAAATTACATCGGATAGAGGGTGCAAGTAGCACATAAAGGATAAATGAAAGATTGTCATTTGTAGATGGTTTGATCATGTTCTATGTACCTCAAATAAGCTGGTTTGTAGGTGTGGACTATGATGATTGAAGGTGCTAGAAGAGTATAAAGGTAGATGTAGAATCACATGAAAGGAAGTTGTCCTAAAAAAACACAGGATTTGTCGAAATCAGTGCATATTTAGGTAAACACGGAAGATAATGGAAGTAAAGGATCCATATAGACTGTACCAGCTGGTTGGAATTTGGTCTAGTTATTGTTCTTATAGTTACACTACATCTGTTGCTTGTCAGGAATATTTCTATTTTGGTTAGAAACTTGTATGTCAGTGTCGAAATAAGTGTAGGATTTAGAGAACCTCTTTTTTTTAGAGAATTCTTAATTGCACTATAGACAACTATTTGCCAGTATTGGAATGAAATGGATACAAACAGAGAGGAGTGGATTTAAAGGATTCATTTAGCTGATTGGAATGGATATAGATCATATATTTGCTCCCCCAACTAGTATGGAATTTAAGGATTATTGATTAATTGATCACTCATCACTTATTTCAGAACTTGATAAGTCAATTGAAAGTGGAAATCCAAGAGATAATAAGAGATAGAGAAACAAAGTAGCTTTGAGTTCTGTAAAAATAATAACTGTGAAGCACAAAGAGTTTCATCACTACTTATTAGAAGAATAGCATGGACAAAACTGTGACTTGTAAGGAAGACTAAACTCTAAATTTCTCCAACAAGTTAATTAGTTTGGGGTCATTTGTGCAGTTTAGTGAACTGCACAATTTTTATTCTTATTTTCCTTTTCAAAAAAAATTTGTGCAGTTTAGTGAAAGGACGTCTTTTGAGTAATACGACAAAATGGATGTCATTGAGCTCAGGACTGGGGGATAGATTGATTGGCCACATTCTTGAGTGAAGTAGGACTTATCATTTTTCTTCTAAGATTGAACTTAATATACACTTATACAAACTAAGTGTTGCTTTTTCGAAAAGCATTTCCAAAAAGTTTGGTCAAAAGTAGATTCACTTCACTTTCGGTAAGGGAACAGCACCGGACTTCTGGATAGGGTAAGATTTTAATTAATTTTCATGCTTTCTTGGGAAGAACTTGTGGAAACTAAATTTCTCTTGAATGCGATGATGCATAATTTCATAACGGAATTATGAATTATGTTTCTGTATAATGTTTCATTTCTTTTTTGATTTAGGCATGGCTCGACGTTTCTCTTTTTCAGGTTTTTGCAGTTTTAACTCTAGCTGATTATGTACCTGGATATAAAGTTGCTGCGTTGATAGAAGTTTTTGACCGAAACTTACTGGGATCTTTTCTTCTGGTGAGAAAAATTTATTGCTGACATCATCGTTCTATAATGCTTTCCGTTCATCCTTTGATCTCTGGAAGATCAGATCAGTCACAAAATCATCATTTGATCATGCAGGCTAACGTGCTAACCGGATTGGTTAACCTGTCCATTGATACCCTCTTTGTCTCACCATTCACTGCACTTGCTATCTTGGTTGGATATGCATACATTTTATCTATTGCTGCAGCAGTTGCACATGTTTGTGGTATTCGATTGAAGTTTTGGTAGGGGAGTTTAGTCTAGTGTGCTCTAATTTCATTCATTCTTTAACCCATCCTCCATTACATGACTGTTCTTATTGTAATAGATCCTGTGCGTCTACATTGGATTCTGAAATCTAGGCATAGGATTCACTTCTATTCGCTGTGGCTGAAAAATATTGTATTGTTCCCTCACTCCCTCTCATTCCCTCATAGAAGAGGAAAAAAAGTACCTGTTGATTTGACTGCGATACAGAACACTATATTTCTGCTCATTAGAAATGCTCATTGAGAAGTGTATGAGAGAAATGGGCAAAACATACTGACATGAGCATGTTATCGCGGCCTAAATCATATGCTCTTGCTGTGCTGCAACAGCCAAAAGGGGAGAGCATGTGTGTCAGGAAGCAGCAGAGAGAGTGAGACCTCAATCCCTTTTTAGCATTCTTTGTGCATAAATATCAAATACTTTGGCAAGAAAAGGAAGCCAAGCTCAAGCCCCATTTGAGAAATGGTATAAACGGGTCCCAGAAAATAGGAAGTGGGAATACTAGTGTTAATAATACTCCTTCCGTCCCAGTTTAAATTTTAGTTTTTAAATATTGAGTTGATCTAATTTAATTTAGCTTCGAAAATTAGTCAAATTGACTTTCGAGAAGCACAAAATGTCATATAAATTTGGACGGAGAGAGTGATAGACAAAGAGTTTTAGATTTGAATGCAGACGATTGTCACTAAGTCCATAAATGAGCACACCTCGTTGCTCTTGGGTTGATTCATAGACTTGCACACATGAAATACTACTTGTTCATCATCAATCCAAAAAGTGAGCTCTCCAGCTTCAACATCGACTTTCCCCATGGCAAGAAATGACCTCACAAGAATAATCGGGACTTCATAGTCCACTTCACAATCTAAAATGATAAAGTCCGCGAAATTAATGAACTTATCAATCCAAACTAACACATCTTCAATCGCCCGAATAGTCTTTTGATAGTGCGGTTGGTCATTTGTAACCTCATTGAAGTGGGTCTTGGTTTTTCAATCGCCAGAGTTTTGAAAACAGAAGAGGGCACCAAGTTAATACTAGTTCTATGGACGCATAAAGCTTTAGCAAAATCCGCATTCCCAATAGTGCATAGAATGGTAAAAGCACCAAGATCCTCCAATTTGGAAGCCACAAAATGAACAATAGAACTATCTTGGTTAGTAACCTTTATAGTTTCAAAGTTCATCCACCGCTTCTTGGTTACAAGGCCTTCTATAAATTTGGCCTAACCGGACATTTGCTCCAAAACTTCCACCAATGACACATTAATAGATAAACTTCAATATTTGTATGAATTTCTTGGATTGGGTTTCATCATTTTGCGTAGTTAGCCTTTTAGGATAAGAAATGGGAGGCTTTGGCAAATATGCCTTAGCCTTTTGCACTGCCGATTCCAAACCAATAGATACAATTCCTGAAGTGTCCTCCCTTACCGCCTCCTCCAAAAGGAAAAAGAAAACTAAAAGAAATATTAAACTCGTGCTAGAATCTTAGTTTTTGGCAGGTAAAAGAAAATACCACATTGCATATTGTAATGCAATCTGCGAGAAATTCGAAGAATATATTCATTATTAGCTTATTGCTAGAATCTTAGTACTTGGTAGGCACATTGACATAAAAATTGTAATTATGAAGAAAAAAATGGAGTTAAGCTGAAAAATAATATTTGAAATTTGTAATTATGTTGGACATGCATTTCACGAAAAACTGTAACAGTTTTGTGAGTTAGAAAACAAAAATTTCTGAAAATTTTGAAAAAACTCCATTTTCGAAATGTTTCCAAAACTTGCAAAATTTCATGGACAAACACGTTTTTGAAAAAAAAAATCAAAAAAAAAGGAAAAAATATCTATGAACAAACAGGTCCTTATTTTTGCCAAAAGTAACAGAAACATAGGGAGCCTCAGCTAGTTTACCATTTTGCCAAATAACCTTTGCCTTATTCACTTCTTCCAATTCAAAAGTCGAGCAAACCTTGAACAGATAGATCATACAACATTCTTTACATATTAAGCTTGATAAAACTGATAAAGCTTGGTCATGTCAGATCAGACTATAACTGGAGGAACTTTATATCAATAACCAATTTGACAACCACCAAATGATACTAATTTCACAATAATTTCTCGTGCAAAATATTTCCCTATTCAAGAATTCAACTAACTGAGAATTACCATCTATCCCGTCACTATGTAAACACAGAGAGTCGTCCCACAAGTTAAATGGCTCTGAGGAAAATTAAATGTTGAAAACTGGAAATGTAAACAGTTCCGCTATCCAAATCATTTTCTTGCAGTCTCCAAGTTCAAGTCCTGAAGGTTAAGCAACAGATCATCGGCACTCAAGTACACCTTGTTTGCTGCATGTGAGATAGTCTGGGCAATCTCTCTTGCTGCTTCGATTTTCCTGAGTGTGATAAATGCCGGATTATTGGCAATCGCTTGACCAATAAGCTGGGCACTCTTAGCCTCACCCTGCAGAACAGTAAACATAGGAATTAAATATTCTGTTTTGCAATGTTTCCGTATCCCCCACCCCCACCCAAAAAGAGATTTTCTTCATTTTAGTTTTCTGTTCTTCCAAACATGTGTTACGGATTTGTTATTATAATGTAATAATATGCAAAAAGACAATGCCAAGCTTCCGGTACGCATCAAAGACATCATCAATCCAGCAACAGATTAATGGAATGACAACAGATTAATAAACAGGAGATGTGAAGTGGGGAAGTTATATTGACCTGAGCTCTGATAACAGCACTTCGCTTATCTTGCTCAGCTTTTTCCACAACAAACTTTGCTCTTTCAGCTTCTTGAGCAGCCACTTGTTTTGCTTCAATTGCAGCTGTAAATTCCTTTCCAAAAGTCAGGCTTGTTATGGACACATCATCTAGAGCAATGTTGAAGTTGGCTGCCCTCTCTGTCAAGATCTTCCGTATTTCTCTGCTAACGTTCTGCAGAAAGTGCACAATATTGGCGATACTTAGATGGTATCTATTAACAAAAAACATTTTTAAAAGTTCACATCTGTTGTAAATAGAAGATTCACAGTTTACTTTCCCTACTTCAGATAGGGAAGTAGTAATTATGCAATAAGCTTCCAACACAATGGCCTAATCACACTTGAAAAAAAATAGTACATATGAGAGATGTTGCTAGTTATAGAAATTATTTCCACCTAGAGCGACATCAACTAAGTAGTTTTAGCATTTTGCACATACCTCTCTCTGGGTGATGAGCTGACTAGCATTGTACTGGGCAACCACAGCTTTCAACGTTTCATGAATAATTGAAGGCAGGACCCTTTCATTGTAGTTTTCACCAAGAGTTCGGTAAACAGTGGGTAGTTCGTCTGGAACTGGACGAGTGAGAACTCTGAGCCCAATTTTCACCTGTGCAATAAATCAGGGAAAAGATCATTATATTAAATCCTATACTTCTAAAAGTCCAAAAAATTTCTGTATTTAAGATTAAGCAAAACCTCAATTATCAGTCTCACCAACTTTGTTCTTAATTGTTACAAATGTTTCCCCCTTTTTTCTACCCTATCTAGTTTTGTTTTGTTTTCGTCCTAAGAGATGAGAGTAAAACAAGTGTTCAGGAAAAAAAATTACCATCTGAAGGTCACGACTTCCTGAAGTGCTCTCCACAAGGTGGGGTCGTGCACGAACATCATAAATGACTGGCCTTTCAAACCAAGGAATCATGAAGTGTGTCCCTTCTGGATAAACCTATTCATAAATCAGTCATGAAAGATTATCAAAAAGGAAAAGCAAAAATAAAAAATAAAAAACCAAAAAAAATGCGCGTACATTAAACAAAGGAAAATCATGTCATAGGGTCATACAAAGAGGTAGCCATAAACATCCAACACAAACATTTGACTATTTGAGTATATAACAAAGATATCAAGATAAGCTAACAATATCTTTTCATATATTAAAAAAATAGTATACAAGCATGTGGCTGCAAAGGCTCCAAAATTCATGTCACCTAATAAGTTTGTTAGCTTGAAATGGATAAAATAGACATAAAATTGGTAGTGACTGTTGCTAACAAAAAACCAATTCGAGTAGCACTGAGAAAAAGTCATTTTGGGTCAAAGAACAAATAACAAGAACACCTTCTCTTTAACACCAAGAATACGGTTGAAAACAATGGCACGATGCCCGCCCTCAACATTGTAAAGACTGTTGGCAACTCCATATACACCAAGACCAGCAAAGACTCCCAATTTGATCAAAGCAGAAGCTGCACCACCACCTGGCATCTTAGGAACCTTAACATTGTTGAGATTCATCTTGCCAATCCTGAAATATACACATCACAGTCATAATTTCTGTTAACCAAAAAATAGCAACCGAGCACGCAATCCGACACCCCTCTTGATTGGTCTGCAGGGAATTTTGTTCCCTAACTCCATTTTGGATAAAAGCTGGGGACAAATATCCTTAAAGGTGGAACAATGACCTTTTACCGTAAACAGGTCAATATCAAAACCTTTTGTATGTCATGTACAACACTTTATCTACCAGAGAAAAGCGGTTTCAGATTTATACAGAGGGATTCAAAAGAAATTTCTATAATGACCTAGAGCAACTTTTGACTCTCCTCTACCACTACACTCGATTATTTCTTCATGCTAAGGGAATTCAACCACTTATATATAACCAAAAAAATCATTTTTATCCTGTTTGCGCAGTATAATTTCTCGACAAAGGGGATCCAGTCGAACCCCCTTCCCTAAGTCCCAAATATTCGACATTTCGATTGCCATTTACCTTTTTCTTCACTTACTATTAAAACTTCGATGTAACAATTTGCCCTTTTTTAAGTACACTACGATACAGTGAAGCACTAAAAATTCTTGATAAAGTTGAATTAGCAAACAGGAGGTTCAACTCAATGTCATTTTTAATTTCTTACAAACTATGCAGAAGTAAAACCATAAATGTTCAATGCACAGCACAACAGCTTACAAACACTTGAAACCTAAACCCTAAACATGTAATACTAAGTTATTAATCCACCTGCAATCCCAAAATCCATCAATAACAACAACTACTACAGTCACACCTCTCCTTTATAACAACACTCCACTATAATGGTCAATTTTTTTTTTTGGAACCAATTTTTCACGCTATGTTTATAATGTATTTTCCCTATAATAACACTTCATTATAGCAGTCAAAAAATGTCAAAACAAACGAGACTTGTTATAAAGAGGTTTGATTGTATTACACCTTAATCACAAACTAGTTGGGTCAACTATATTAAACCCTTTATATCATTTCTGCTCTATTCGAGCTAATTTTATTTCAATACACGCAATATAATTTGTCATTTAAGATAAATCAAGCATAAAAACATAAAAGAAAATCTGGTGCAACGTTAATTAAAAGAGCAAGAAAAGGGTAAAATATAAACCCCTAATGAAGAAATGCTAACAATAAAAACAGAAGCAAATGATACATAAAGAAAATGGAGTTACCAAAGGAAGATGTGTTTACCTGATCGAACTGAAGCAGAGGAGAAATGGAGAGAAGACAAGAAAAGGGTTTACGACAACTTGGGGAAGGGGTTAGGGCTTTAGGATCTTTGGATATTATTTTTAGATTTTTTTTTGGTTGGCTAGTTTCCATAGAACTCATTCTTGCTTCAAATGTTCTGGGCTTTTGACTTTGGGCCATTATCCTGTAATTGGCCTTTCAAAAGCCCATTATCTCTGGGACGGAATATTTTTTGGGTAGAAATGACAACAGGTAGCCACTCTAAAGGCCTCTATTTAGAAATTAACCAGTGCGTCTTGAATTTTAGTTTTTTTGTTTAATTTTTGGGTACATAAGTGTCCTGAATTATTTTGAAGTTACAATTTTTAGTTTAAAATTCCAAGACAAAATAAGTACTGGCTAATCTCTGAATAGCATCACTGAGAATGGCTATTTGTACACTTGCCCCCCAAAAATTACAGAAATATTTGATACTTTTTGAATAGTTTTTAACTTTTGACCCTCGTTTGTTCCTTGGGTTCAAGAACAAAAATAAAAAGTATTGTCCATGCGGTAAGCGAAGGGCAATATTTGTTAACCTTGTTGTTCTACGGACAAGCTAAGACGAAAATTCAAGACCATTCATATTGAGGGCTATTTGTGTACTTCACCCCTGACAACTTCTAACAAGGGAATTTATAAAACGCTACATGAAAAGGGAAAATACTTACCCACACCAGGTGTTTACACCAAACTATATTAACTCATCATGGTTAATTAATTTAATTAGATGAGAATGCATATAATTTACCATAGTTAAATCATTGAAGTCCATATGCAAGACATATGTCATGTATTTATTGAAGGATTGCGCATAGGTGTTCGTAACACGCAGCGGAAGACAATAACAATCCTAGGCAGATCTTTTTATGTTTAAAATTTATTTACATGTCAATAGATCAAATCTAAGACGTATCTGGTGAAGAAAGCTCTTTACCAAGCTTGTACCCCAACTTCTCATGTTCTTCGGTAAGAACAATCATATG